ATATTTGAGTCCTTTCAAAGTCTCACATTACGTTGACCTCTTCAAAAAACAAAGAACTGTTTGGGGAAGACACTCGAAATAACCCAAATGAATGTAGGTCTGAATGCAAAAAAGAGTCCACCTGACAAAGGCAGTCGAAAGGGAAGCCAAGAAACTTTACGTAGATTTAGTTCTTATTCCTGGAGGATATATGACCTCATAGTTTCTAATGTTGGAAATTGTTGTAAACAAGCCTTTTAAAGATCACTTTAAAAAGTAATAATGTTACGTTTGCCAAAAATGCACAATCTGAATTTAATCATGAGGGCACATCAAACCAACCCAAATCAACAGACATTCTACAAAATAACCGGGCAGTACTCTTTAAAACTGTGCAAGAGACAAAGAAAGACTAAGCAATGATCCCAAATTAGACACTAAGGAGTCATGACAACTCAATGCTTCATGATCCTGGATTGGATCCTAGACCAGAAAAGGGACATTAGTGTTTCTTTTAAAGGGAGTCTCAGTTACTTTGGTGTCTTAAACAAGAACTCAGAATTCCCTTAGTTAGAGCGAAAACAATCTCTACTAAGCAAAGTATGATACTTCTTAAAGATGTTTTTGGCCAGGATATTAGCACATATGATCTTGAAAGTCAGTATATATATTTTATACCCTAAAATTTTTATAAGTTTAAAGTGAAATTTGTGTTTAAAAATATCTTTAAAAGCTTATTTTGTACTTTAAAGAAAACATATTTTCTAAAGTAAGGTTGATATACTTTACTTTACCAATTTGCTGCTTCCAGGCTATTTCAATGGTATTCTGAAAGGGAGAATGAGTGTCTGAATTCAGCCAGAGATATATAAGTACATTCTTCTAATTGATGCTTGAATCTGAAATATTAGCCATAATTAAATATATGACAAACAGAAGAACAATAACCCATCTTGTCTGTATCAAGCCTTTTAACATCAATGAGATCAAGTGCATGTTTTGCTTGATTACTGGGAAAGCTGGTGTAGGTCACACTTGTTTACGTGGTGTACTTTGCTACCACGAATGTGGATTATAAAAGCGTCCAAAGTATGTGAACCAAACGTTTAAAACAAAATTGGCATGGGGGTGAACCATTAAAAATGAACTGCCTAGAGATTAAAACTGTAAAGCTTGAGCATATTCACGATGGTTAATGCAATCACATTCCAAGTGTGTCCACTCTTGGCAGAGCTTACAAACACTAATGCCAGAAAACATTATTCTTTTTCAAAACATTAACTCCATATTCAAGAGTCTGATTGTGTTTAGTCTTAAAATCTCTTGGCAGTGGGTTTTATAGCAATTAATTGGTTAATGAAAATATCGAGCTGGATAAGCTAAAATTATTCAGCTGTGTCAGCCAGACATATAATCGTTCGAGCCGTCACATACTGGAATTTCAGGAGGTATTCCAGAACATACATTCCCCTCTGCTGCCCCTCAGCAGACACTCCCCTCCACTGTTGGCCCTGGCAATAGTGCTGTGGGTCCCTGGGACCCTGTGTTGACACTAGGGCCCTCCGTTGGCAGTCATGCCAGGTCCTGTGGCCACATTGGCTGCTGAGGGGCCTCCCACCATTCCAGGGAGCTGGGCAACAGTCCCATAGGAATGCCCACTCCCTGGGCTCGGATGCAGGAAGACAAAGCACTTCTGCCTCCTCCTCCTCCCTCTCTGCAGATGCCTGTACTCCTCGGAGAGGTTCCAACTGACCGGGGGACTATTTTAACTAAGTTACAATATAGTCTAGTTAGTGTTTTTGGTCAAAGGAAATCTATTTGTTTTTCACTAAGAAACATATGTTGATTCAAGAAAAAATAGCAAGTAGCGAGAAAACATAACAATACCCATAGTGGAACTTTCTAAAGTTCTACTTCAACATTTTACTACAGTTATGTCTTATTGTATCAAAGATTTTTTTATATCATTATAACATTTCTGTATAGTCGTATTTTACCTAACACTATATCATAAGCAGCTTTCCATGTGAACAGTCTTTTAAACAAATCACTGTTTAATATTCCAAGTAACTATAACATGTTTTACTTAACTAGTTCCTTGTCATTGACCTTGTCAATTCACTTTTAAAATTCACTGAGTATCTACTATGTTCTAGTCACTGGATTAAATATTCTAAGTACACATATCTGAATATAAGTGGCTCCTTCCAGAACATTCTTCAAAACTACAAAAGACACAAAAATATACATACAAAAAATATGGCAGATGCATGTGCACACTTGTATATGTGGCCCCAAGCCATTTAACTCTTTTAAAATATGCTTATAGGGTTGAAATATTCTAATTTCCTTTCCATGTATTCCTTTTATTGCTAATTTCTCTTATCCTTGGCTGCTGGATTTGCCTTAATATGCCTGATCAGAAAATTTTTAAAGTAGCCAAAAAAGAAAGAAATTCTGAGCATCATTAAATATTTTATCTTATAATTATCTCCAACCAAAAGTATTAACGACACCCGCATTCTAGACAAAATTGCTGTATGATGTAATACTGGGCTGGTCGACCTGGGAAGGGTAATAAGACATTGTGGTTTTCTTTGGGTGGTGGGACTGGGAGAAAAGAGCAGACATCTGGAGCAGATGTCTTGGAGTCACAAAGACATAGATATAAATTTTCCATTCAGTCCTTAACTAGGTGCATGATCTTCTGCATGTTACTTAAAAATCTCACTGTGCCTCAGTTTCCCTACTTGTAGAAAGGAGTTAATAATATTTACCTTGCAGGGTGGATATAAGGATTCCAGAAAATCTATATAAAGGCCAAGCATGTGCCTGGCATACAATAGACATGGAATATGTTTATTTCTATAATGAGCATACTGTTTTTAAAAGACAAATATAACTGTATATAAAAATATTTCAAGAGAAAAATTAATTTACTGGGCTTTATTGCTACAAGTGAGTTGCAATTCATTACTCATTTCCTAACAAAGAGTCTAAATCTTGAAAACTCAAGAATCTAGAAATGTGGAATACAGCGTCCTGAGGTCAACCATGATCATCTTGTAACCTAGCTCCTAATATGAAGTTAATCCCATATTTTTCATCCTTTTTGTAAATTTGTGCATATACATCAAAGATGATGGGGTAAAATCCCCAGTGCGGGAAACCCACTTCCATTCTCTAATCCCGCTTCAGGACCATTTGCTTCCCTTTCTAGTTCTCACATCAGCCTCTGATTTGAGAGAGCCCCAAAGCAACAGAATCGATTACCCTGCTGCTCTGTGAGCAGGTGGAATTAACTGCTCATCTTCAGGAAAGTAGATGTTTCCCCAGAGAGACTAGTGCAGACAAGCGGTTTCTGGCCCTGCAGCACTTGGCCTCACATTTTACACTGGAGCTCTGACACTTAATGTCCTCTGAGTCTGAACAGAGTCTCCTGGCTAATGAACGATGCCCTGAAGAGGGCCTTCGTTAGTCAATATACATTCGATTACCAGAGGTAACTGAACAGCAAGAGTTCCCAGGGGCCTTAAGCATTCCTGGAATTCTCATTTTCCCACTTGAGTCCAGCTAGAGCTAAAAAGCTGCAACCAATTCTATGAAATCAACCATCTCTACTCTGGCAGAGTAATTCAACTATCATTAAAATAGAGATAAGGGGCTGGCAGGTGGCCTAGCGGTTAAGTGCGAGTGTTCCACTGCAGCGGCCAGGGGTTCACAAGTTTGGATCCCAGGTGCACACCCGAGGCAGAGCTTGTCAAGCCATGCTGTGGCGGTGTCCCATAAAAAGTAGAGGAAGATGGGCACAGTTGTTAGCCCAGGGCCAATCTTCCTCAGCAAAAAGAGGAGCATTGGCATTGAATGTTAGCTCAGGGCTAACCTTCCTCTCACACACACACGAAAAATAGAGATAATATTTCTAGGGATAAAAAATCTTAGATTTTTTTTTTCCCCCATAGGGCCTAGATAAGTTTAGACCTCTGAATAGTCTCAGGACTAGTCTGGCTTCCATGCTAGGAGGCACAGAAGTGAGGAGACAGCTCTGGGTGCAGAGGAAAAGACAGCCTCAAAAGCTGGGTGTGTTTGAGAAATTGCCTATAGAACCAGCAGGTGGACAGGGTTTAGCCTAAAACCTCTATCATTTTTGGAGTTGTATGCATAGAAAATTTCAGATAATCTCTAATCTCAAAAGAACCTGTATATAAGATTTTATCTTTGTTTTCAAATTGTCTAAATGCAAGCTGTTTCCTTGGGAAAGGATCATGGGGTCGCCGTTACGATGATTTCAGACTCCAACGTGCTGACAGCACACCCCAGAGCACAAAAAGCTTAATTTCAAAAGGATATTTTGGAAACTGTCCTTTGCACTCCCTTACCCAGAAAACTCTGACCCCAGACATATGTGCACGGTCCATTCTCTCACTTCATTTGGGTCTCTGCTCAAATGCCCCCTAACTGGAGAAGACTTCCTGACTATCAAATTTGAAGTAGCACAAACACACTCAAAAACAGGCTCTAGATCACCTTAGGATGACCTATTTTTCTTTCTCACTACCTCTCATATTAGAGATGCATTCGTTTGTTTATTTTCCATCCTCCCCTCCCCCCACCAGAGTAAGCTCCATGAAAGAGGGAATTTTGCTTTTTCACTGCTATAATCCACCCAGTTCTTCACAGAGTACTTGAAAGCATGATCACTGTTCAAGAAATATTTGTCACGTGAATAAATGAACTGTAGATGTTTCAGTCAAATGCCATACGTCTCCAGTTCTCTTCCCAGCAAAATATACACTCAAAGCTTCTGAGACACACACAAGGAAGGCTAAGAGGATCTCCTTAGGTCTCTTTGTGGCATTTTATGAAGCAAACGTATCCATGTGAACTACCCTGAGAGTTTACAAAAAGCAAGGTTCTCTTTTAATCTTCCCAGGCTATAATACTAATTAACACACCACTTGCCCCCCTCCCCAAATCTCAAATTTTTTCATGCTCCCAGAAACCTCGATCTCTTTTCTCACCATACTGATCAGAAGAGCTGGTGAAGAGAAGGTAGTCAGAAGCACAGGTCTGGGATTCAATATCCAGATCTCCCAACCTCAGAATCAATCTCTTCCCCTTCGGTACAGTGATAGTCTTCTCACAAACTGTGTGATTGGGGTAAGTGCCTGGATAGTTCTTAGATGTCACTGTGCCACTGTCCTGATAGGTCACTATGTGCCCACAGCCGTCACCTGTTAAAGGAAAAAGGATAAAAGAAGTAAGTGAAATTAATTCTTACTGAGGACTGCGAAAGTCCAGTATAATCTCCATCTTATGTATTTTATTCCTTCTTTGGAGGGAGGGAAAAGCTTAAAAAAAATGAAAATGGAATTATTAAATAGTGTCTATTGTTTCCATTTATTTCATCTTGTTTCCCAGTTTAATCTTCTGAACATTGTTGATCAAAATGTTTCATACATGTAGAATGGAAAGCCCTTAGTAAACATATCATATAATTATATTACTTTATTACTTTTTCTAACCATCTATCCATCTACTCATCCACATTTGCACAATAGACCCTTGGCATTCACAGATTTGCTATTTGTGGTTTTGTCTATTAGCAAGCCAAAGTCATGAAATAATTTGCAATGGAGAAAATAATATTACTCACTTCAGAAGTTTATTGTCTTGATTAAATGAGATAATGCATACCAAATGCTCCTGGTAGAATCTGAGGCTCATGCTGAGAGGACTTTGTTTAAGAGCATGTCATTCAGCTGGGGACTAACAATCATTCAACATTCACATCTTAGTTAATGACAGTCACAGATCTGAAGGTTCCTGATAGACTCAGAATGTATCATAGAAGAGCATCAAGAATCTACTGTATTAAGTGCTTGCCACATACCAGACACAGTACCATTGGAGACACATAAAAGCAGCAGTCGTTGCTTCATAGAACTCAGAGTAAAATTGGAGATAGCCACATGTTCGAATAATTATAATATTAGTGCTATGTGCCATATCAGGAGCTTAAACAAACTGCTGAGGAATGCACAGAAAATCTATTTCAGCGAATTATCAACACTTCACTAAAACAAAAAATTTCCTTAAGATTTTTCTGAATAGGGAAGTTCATCAATCGACCAACAAGTTGCTCCAGTAGCTTAAAAAGACCAAGTTAACCACACAAATATCCGATGGCATGCACAGTTGGGTGGGCTGCAGGGTAAATAAGCATATGCTGCATCAAGATCATAAAATGCCTGTGGTTAGTATGGCTTCACATAAACAAAGCAAGAATTTTGGGCCTTAGCTGGAGGGAGATAAAGCAGAAATAAGTTGGAGAAGAACTCTCTGAGGTAGTAAAAGAAGGTCTCTCCATCCCAAAGTCTTCCATGGAGAAGCCCCAACTTGGGCATACTGGGAATCTGAAGCCCAAGGCAGCCAGCCTTCTTCCTCCTCCGGCCTCTTCCAAAGTTAGAGGAGGATTCACCTGGAGATTCGTTCATTCTTCTTTCTTCTTGCCCTGAAGTTTGCAGCCCAAATGATAATGGAGACCTAGTCAACAAAAAGAACTCCAGAATCTACCCCATCTCAGCAGACAAGGTCTAGGGAAAGGATGCACCCATTATCCAGAAACTCCCACAAGGTTTCGGCAGCCCGGGCCAGGAGGTAGGATTGGAGGAGGAGAGTTGACTTAAGAAGCAATGGGTTAGAGATGGTTCAGATAAAACTACCATGAAACCTTGAGATCTGCAGAAGAAGTTGTGGAATTTATATGATAGGCCATAGGGACCCATAGAAGTTTTTGAAAAGGAAGATAATGAAAGAAGTAAAAGATGATTGAAAAAGATGATCAACCTGGTTGGGTAATGCTCCAGGAACTACACTGTGGGGAGAATCTGGATCAGAAGAGCAGTAGGAGGGCTAGGACTGGGGTAGGTGGAATGGGAGGAATGGGAAAGAAAAACAGGGAAATTCACAAGAAGAATATCAACAGACTCAGGTTTTGGCTAATTATAGCAGGAAAGACAAGAGGAGGAAAAAAACTGAGATTTTGAGTCCAGAAATGATTGGAACACTGAGGCTAATATAGATAGAAAGAGAAGCCCAGACAGTGAGCAGGTTTGAGGGCAAAGGTTGTTTGGTTAAGTTTTAGGTGATAGCTCTATTCCTTGGGCTGTCTGGCAGCAGGTACAAAATTGTTGAGAAGTAAATGAAAATTATACTAGAGTGAAGCATGTGGTGCAGAAGCACATAGTGCCCAGGGTTTTTATTTAAAATTTGAATTATTTGCCTGCTTTTAAAGGCTTTAATTTAAAAAATCCAATTTACAATTTCTCTTGAAAACTGGTAGATATGGCAACTATACCAGCAGGCATTCTCACAGGGCTAGCATATGGTGGCTGACCCTTTAAGGGAGACAAACGCCCTAGCTCCCCATCAGGTCCTTGTCACTCATTTCTATGACCTACCCCACCTTTGGAGGCATTGATTTTGACGACTCCGATAGAGCAATCCTAGGGTACCTCGTGTACAAACAATTACGCATATAAATATACATATAACTAACCCCCTTTAAGCCATCAAGACATCGCCTGGTCAAACATTTAAATGCCCCTTTTCTTAGTACTAAGAAATTCTCCTTCAGTAAGAGAAGAGAAAGTGAAAACTTTTTCCAGAAAACACAGCTAAATAAAATGAGGAGCAATTATATGTGAATCAACCTACACATGATTATTGTATTCTAAATTTTATTTCAGTGATATATCATGACAAAGGAAAATCCCAGGGTGTCCCTTTTATTCAACCCTGTAATTATGCTTCTTTCCAATCACTTCTACTCTGAAGCCCAAGAGGAAACTCATTTCACCCAGCAATACTGGCAGAATGTGAGCAGGTTTAAGTCTTGAACACTCCCATCACTACTTTGCATGAGGGATCTGCCTCCTGAGAAAAATTTCCCTTTTCCATTAACTATCAGAATGAAACTCCATGAGTCTTTGTTCTGCCAAAGAACCTGAAAAGAACTGCTGAGTCCTAATTTGTTAAAAAGTGAACTGTCATCAGATGTTGCAATTCCACTCTTGCCTATGGAAGTAGACTATTTGTGGAGTTTTCTGTGGCAAGCACTCATATACTGTTTATTCCATGGGTATTAACTACATTGGAATTTTCACCCTATTGTTCTTCCACAGTTTTGATGACTTCAAAGGACTAGATATAGTTAACAATTGTGTATTATATACTTAAAAGTTGCTAAGAGAGTAGATCTTAAATGTTCTCACCACAAAAAAGAAATGGTAATTATGTGAGGTGATGGAGGTGTTGAGTTAACACTGCGGTGGTAATAATTTCGCAATCTATAAGTGTATAAAATCAACACGTTGTAGACTTAAACTTACACAATGTCATACGTCAATTTTATCTCAATAAATCTGGAAAAAAAAAAAGGACTAGGAATATGCCCAAGGGGAAAGTGGAAAACCGCTAGGGAGAGAAAATGCCTACGAGATCATGTAGTGAATAAGGCAGATGCATGCAACTGACAAATAGAATTTCCCATGACTATTCCCATGACCTCATTCTAACACCGGGGTAGCTTAATTCTCACAGCCTAACTCTAATTAAGAAGTCTATACAGAAACTGAAATATGATGATGTACACTTGAAATTTACACATTGTTATAAACCAATATGACCTCAATTAAAAAAAAAAAGGATCATTGACAAGGAAGAAGACAAAAGATATTTAAAACTCTATCAGTTCATGTTCCATATCTCGTGTACCAATGTCAATATCCTGGTTGTGATATTATACGATAGTTTTGCAATGTGTTATCATTGAGGGAAACTAGGTAAAGGGTACATCTCTCTGTACTGTTTGTTACAACTGCAGGTGACCTACAGTTATCTCAGAATAAAAAGCTTAATTAAAAAATGGAAAAAAAAATTTGTCAATCTGGGTAACTTTGGCCGGCAGGGGGTGAAAAGGAAGGGGCTTTTATTTTCTATTTTGTACTTTTCTATACTATTTGGATTATTCTGTATGCTTCTTCTATTTAAATTATTTTTAATTAAAGTATTTATACAAATTTGCATTGAAGAAATCTATATAAAATGATAATGAATAAAGGAGGCCACTTTTATTCTGAAATCTCTGTGTACCAAACCCATTATCCAAGTTTTTCACATTTGTCTAAGGAGCATGGGGTGTTGAATCTGAGAGAGGTTCATGATATATGCCCCAGTTTACAGAGGAGAAAACAAAATATATATGACTTGCCTTAAGGCTACTCAACCCACAGTGGATCCCAGACTACAATTCCCAGATGATCCAGCAATGGCTCTAGGATTTTGTCTCACCTCTTTATTTGATTTTGTAACACATGTGTATTTTTGTTTAATCTTGGAAAATCACCTGAACTGCTGTCCTATCTGACCTCTCTTTAGATACTTTCACAACATTCTTCTACTAAAATGAACAGCTCACATAAGATGTAACCGACTCCAGCAATGGTTACAAATAGATGGAAAGTCATTGGGTAGAAGGTTGATGAAGAACTTTAAAATAGAAGTATCAGGTGTGTCACCTTTTAAATTCGCTGATGGATCTCAGCATGACTACAAATGAGACAACCAGACATTACGTGTCTCCTGAGAGGATAAAAATGTGCTCTACGCACCAACACCTATAAAATACTGTTGCCAAAAAGCGAAATATGTGAGTCAATAATGACTCTGAATCTCATCAAGCCTTTGGTTCTAACTTCAGTCTACATTAAACGCAGGGGTAGAGGCACAAGTTTACTGACACCACAAGGAAGCCATTGGCTGAATCCAGGCTGTGACACTATAGGTGCAACTGACCCAGTCTCTTCAACAATGAATTGTATAAATAGGCATAAAAGAAGTATTTATTTTAGATTAAAGGAAACTGAAGAGCCACAACAACCAAGTGAATCTTGTTTGGATCCTGATTTAAAAAAACATCCTTACAAAACCATTTTAAAAAGATAACTGGCAGGGCCGGCCCCGTGGCATAGGGGTTAAGTTCAGTGCACTCCACTTAGGTGGCTGGGGTTCACAGGTTCAGATCCTGGGCACGGACCTACACAATTTGTCAGCCACGCTGTGGTAGCAACCCACATACAAATTAAAGGAAGACTGGCACAGATGTTAGCTCAGGGCAAATCTTCCTCAGCAGAAAAAAAAAAAAAAGGCTAATTGGGAATTAAATGATATT